CACCAAATTCAGAAATATTTGTTTCTTATTTGCACCTGCCCCTGAGGAAAAAATCATTATTTGATGTATGCTTCAGTGAATAATGAAGGTGAATAAAGTCAAGGGGTTCTTACAATCAGGGGTCTTACAACCAGGGGTTCTTACAAGCAAGGGTTCTTACAACCAGGGGTTCTTACAATCAGGGGCTTGTATCAGTGTATCTTACATGACAGGTCTAGATGTTGATATTGATCAGTGTTCCTTACATACAGGGGTTCAAATCAACGTGAACAGGTCTCTGCCCAGATATATATATTGATCATAAAATCTTACAATTAGGGGTCTGTGTTGATCGCAATCTAGTACATTTCCTGTGATCAGATGTTGATATTGACCTTACAATGTCACATTCATGTGAAACCTATGTCCTAATGTTTATTCTGATGGTAAAATCTTATATCTAGGGGTCTGCGTGCAGATGTCAATATAGATTGTGAATGCTTTTGTTACATCCACGGGTCTTAGATTCCTTTCTTACAACTAGGGTTTTTCAATTGTACCTTGGAATAGTCGCAACGTAACAATAACGAATTATATATGGGGATTTTTTTTTAAATTGTAAGGTGGTTTTATATAGGGGTCTGTTCCCAGCTACTGATATTGATCCAATTCTACAATGAGATATGTTAATAAGTCAAATCAGCTAAACATGGAAAGAAATATTTCAAATACTTAAGGTTGTTTTCAAGTAATTTCCCATATAGTGAGTACAAGAGTCTAACTCATAGAGGCAATTATACAAAGTACAAGCTTTGTAACGATGTGGAGGAAAACCCTGGTCCTGCCATGCAGCATGTTGATCCTAATAAAACAATAAAAGATCCACATAAAAAAGGGGATGTTGTATTTTGACAAAATGCAAGACAAAAATTTGTTGCAATGAGTTTATGTGCTTTAATATACCACAATATGAAAGGAATAAGTAACCCTAGTGACTTGAAACAAATAGTGCATATTTGCAATCAACTATACAGCAGTTTGTCAAAACTTAAGCAAGACAATCATTCTTACTGCTTACAGAATTACCAACAATGTTTACAGTATTGCAGGGAAATTACCAGCTAGAATACAGTGCAAGTTACACTCTTAATGTCCATGGTGAGACTACTATTAAGGAATATCAATACTGAGCCTGAAAAGAGCTTTTGAGTCACTGATATCAGAACAATACAGGTTGCTTATTTTAACAGTTGGTTGTATTGCTGTCAGTATTGTTTACTGTGCTGACAATCACCATTTTAAAGTGTTTGACTCATGCTAGAGATATTTATGGTAAGAGTCATACCAAAGGGTCATACTAAAGGGACATGTATACTATCAGATATATCATCTGCAGACAACTTAGTGCCATACTTTCAAAGTTTATACGGAGTAACTGATGTGTATGAACTGAAAGGTTTACATATTACAAAATATAATTAATAATTGCTTAATAATGCAATGCAAAGTGAACATCATTCAACATCTATTTATATTCGTAACAGTGTTATAATTTTTGGCATTAAGATAAACATAGATGTTGATAAACTAAGTCACAGAAAATTAAATGAATTACCTAAAAGCAGGATATCTTTAAAGACCTTGATTTTAAGGAACAATGGGAAAACAGAATTTTAAATGTGCATTTCAAGTTTCTGTGCAGCTTGTATTTATCAACAAAATACCACAGTGAGACTGTTTTCACTTCTGACATGAAGATGGTAATTCACCTGAAATAAAACACACAAAACACATCAGTGGTGTAAACAAACTTCTAGAGGCAATTCAAATTATAACATAGCTAGTAAATTTGTCTTATCAAATTCAATTGCGCGAGCGTGCCTCATATTCCTATTGTGCACACTCATGACGTCAGCAGACAAATCCCTCAAGAAAAAAATTTTCCTTCGGGTTGGAAATGTTATAAAACAATTGGTTCATACATCAGCTGTGCGTTCATC